TTAGATCCTTCAAATTAACTCGTTTAAAAAATAATATTCAGGACTCTACTCCTCGCTTTTATGGCTTATTAAGTTAATAAACTTACACAAAAAATATTTTATTTCATCAAGTAAATAAATCCTGGCCAATTAATTCAACCCTCGATAATAATTTTAGTATTTTCACTACTGAATTCTAGCTTTTAATTTTGGATTTTAATTAGCGAGGTTCTATTTTTATACTTAAATTATACAAATGGGTGATTCTCTGTAAAAACGTCTTAAATCTGTACAAAATTGTCCGACCAATTTATTTTTGATTTTATTAGAAAAAAAATTAACAAGGGCTACAAAACTATCAGCTTAATCATAATAAATAAACAACCGATTTAATTTTTGCTTTTTCGATGGGAACTGAATTTTGAAGTGGCCCAGACACATATTTCCAGCACAAACGGTGCTTAGACACTAAATAAAATGGCGATAAAGCGCTAACAGCCCTATGATTATTAACTCAAGGCTAGTTAGATCCTTATAAACCTTACAAAAGGTAAAATAACACGCTGGATTTTTTTTTTGCTTTGAACTTCTGGCAGGGGACTGTTCTTAAAATGCCTGGGACAAACTTTGGTTTAATCAATTTAATGAAACAAATTAATTTTCGGTACTTTTTATTGAAGAAGATTGTTAGTTAACTAATTAAGTTTATAAACATTATGGACCAAATTATATATTATTGACGAATAACTTAAAATTTAATCTTAAAGTTTTAATTTTGGGAATGGGACAGCCCAGGGGACTGATATTTCGGTGGTTTACGAATTTATAGCAAAAAAACCAAAATTTATTACATTTTAGTTTTCAATGCTCCAAATAGAAATGTTTTTTTACTTTCGTAATAAATTTTTTTTTAGTAACAAAATAACAATTTTTCTAATAAAAAAATGTCTGGGACAACCAAAATACATGGAAAATAATAAAATTATTGGGACAAAAGAAAAAATTCTTGAGCCAAGGAATTTTTTTTCTAAACCAAGAATTCTATCTTAACTCAAGAATTTTTTCTTTTGAGTCAAGTCAAACTTTATATCTATGTATTTATTTATTTATTTATTTTTACTACAAAAAATAAGTCTCAAATACTTTTTAGAACATTTGAAAAAAAAATTTTTTTTTTATTTTTAATAAAATTTATTTGGATAAAAAAAATTTTATTATATTCATTAAAGATAATGTTTATTATAATTCTTCAATAAAAAATTTCTTAAATCAAGACAACCTCTCTTAAAAATCATTTTTTTTTAATTTGAATAATTTTACGATCCTAAAAAAATTTTTTTATTCATTAAAAACATTTTTTACACATCTATTGTAAATATATCAGTGAATAATTATTTAATTACATAAAAAAATCAAATTTATACAATCAGGATTTTGTTAAAAATTCTGTTTAACTTAAAATAATTTCCAATATCAAATACCCAGCGCATCAAAATTATCAACATAAATTTGCTGTCAGATAAATACTTTAACAATTATCTAGAAATATTTATATTTCAGTAAAATAAATGCCCGAATACCGGATTAAAATTTTTCTATTGAAAAATGAATTCCATTGTCAACAAACAAACAATGGTTTTTCTGTTGAACGAATATTGTTAAACATTATATTGTATTCTTCATCATAAACGTAGTTTTATTTAAAATGTAAAAAATGCAGAAGCAAAAAAATGTTAATAATATTATTCGAGATAAAATAGGAATTATTACGATAGCAAAAACAATAAATTCAATGCGTTTTATGAAATTCATTCATTTTCCATAAGCAGCTTGAGATATTTTACACCGATATGTATCATCAATTGAAGATAATACTTCACGGAAAAAAGTAAACTGTAATAAATAACAGTCGATTTATAATAAGTAATGATCAACTGCTAAAAATTACCATTTCAAACAGTAAAATCGTGATTTTACTATTCACTTTACAATATTTACCATTTAAACATTACAATTTACTCTTTACATGAAAGAAAATACTATTTCAAACAGTAATATTCGCTATGTAAATGTCTAAAATGTTAAAGTATAATAATTAAGAACTCAGACTTTGATATTTATCATTTCGTACCTAAAAAATGATGTTATGATATGTAAAAAGTATAAAATAAAGTTAATAAATTTCTAATACAAGCAACGTCAATATTTACAAAGTAAAATGGTAAATTTTAAACGCAACGCTAAAAATCAAACTGTAATTATTGACTTGCTTGGACTGGTAAAATGTATATTTTAAAAGTATAATTTTTACTGTTTGAAATGTTAAATTCTCCCAGAGTGAGACCCCCTTCTCTTTCATCTGAGTTCCCCTTCTCCTCATAATATGGACTATATATTAAAATGGCAATTTTTACTGTTTGATACTGTAATTTTTTAAGATGAAAGAGTCGTTATTTACTACAGTGACAGCTACTAATCACTTATTTTGGATATTAAATTATAAATTGTGGCTTTTATGCTTTCTACATTAAGTTCTGTAATATTTATATTTTTGAAACTATAAAAATTAACCGGAATCCGAGTGAATATTACAGTTTACTTTTTTCTGTGAATTCATTTGCTCCGATGATATTAAATATCAGTTAACGCAGTAACAAATCGATTGAAAAAATAATATTTAAATACTTATAGAATGTTTTTTAATCTTTAAAATCGTTAAATTTACCTCAGATGAATGATAAGCATTAATTTAAAATTCAAAACTTTGTGAAGAAAGTTATTATAAATATTAAAAGTTGTATAAGTAGACGGTTTAAATATATACAAAAGTCACTTAAATAATTATATATAACTATTAGTAGTTACCGTTTGAAAGACTTGGCTAAAAAAAGTTATCTAAAGAAAACTGAAATAAGATCGAGTGTAAAAGTTTTATCATTTTCAAGCGTCGCTTCATTAAATATTAAACTACTTATCATTTCCTCAAAGCTCAACTAGTTTTTTTTTATCTATCAACATTTCATTTGCATGATTGCTCGATTTACTTATTTTAAACATTAAATACGCGCTTTATTATTTATACTTTTAGTTCTCCGGATTATTTTTAGCTCAAGTATTATAATGAGTAAAAAAAAAATTAAGTATTTTTTTTGCCTTTTAGTAAAATAAAAAAAATTTTACAGTAATATAATTAAAAAATAATCTCTGATAATGAACTTTAACTCTTTAGAGAAGCTATAAAATTTTTCGAATAAATCTGAATTTTTTTTACAAAAAAGCAAAGAAGTGAATAAATAAATACAGTCTTCATATTTTCTTTCATTATGAAATTTTCTTTGTGTAAATATTTATATCTCTATATATTTATGTATGTACTTTGCACACCGCACAAATAATAACGAGCTCATGTTTAGCATTGTATCTAGTTATACGTATACAAACGGAAATGGAGCCTTCAAAGAAACTACAAGCAAAATAACCTCGATGTAATCATGTAAAATCCTCTGGGTGCACTGGTCTCAGTTGGAACAAAAGACAACATGAGACAAAATTTTTTTTTTCTGTATTTACCGATGGTATATATGTTTTGTAAATTATGCATGAAATCGGTAAGTTGGTTTTTTTTAAATCGTTGATTTTGAAAAACTTAAATTTTTTATAAAAGATATTCACAAAAAATTATAAAAAAAATTTTTAAATTAAAGTTAAAGCTTAGACACTGGATATCATCCCAGATTATACTGAGTGAAAAAAATTTTAGACAGTAACTCGTATAATCCAGATTACAATGAGTATAATCTGGATTTTTTTAGATACTATCATTTAAATAAATTTTTTTTTTTTTGTAATTTCTAAAGATAATAAATACTAGGAAATTTTTTAACCTGTAAAAAATTTATGGCTATTAGTTGCACTATTTATTATTTTGAGACAATAATTATAAAGTTACATAATTACATTGATTAAAAATATTACTTGATTTATTTATAAAAAAAATTCTTAAACCAATGAAATTATTTTAGTTAAAGAGTTCGATAAATTTTAACCATGAAAAAAAAATTATTTAATAAAGTAAAATCAAATTAAATCACCAAAAATTTTTTAATTAAAAAATTTTCTAATTAAAACTGAATTAATTTTTTTATCAGTCTACCGGAAAATTAATGATTAAACCTGATACCTTTCCATTCGTAAAATTTTTGTATATTAATAATAATAATAATAGAGAAAAATAAGGATTACCCAACTTCGGCAGAGTCGAAATTCTGTACGTCATCCGACCATGTTTTGATATGAAGTTTAATACGGTTGAGGCTATTAGTATCGATTTCCAGGGTATCGATGTACAAAATATTGATGTTTTGCCATACTTGAAAACGCGCTGTAAAAATATACACATTCATTATTTAATGTTTAATGATACAACATTGCTTTTGTTAGGTTTGATGTTAACATAGCTCGTTTTTTATCATAATGAGGAGACTTAACATGGAATGTAAATACGAGTAAGTAAAACTGGTTAGAGTTCCTTGTGGAATCGTAAGCATACTCTGGGTACTTTTTTATTTATATTTAAATGTGCGCAGGAAAGAACTAAAAGGTCTTTAAAGAAAAAAAAAAATTACGAAGAAACTAAAAAATTGACTATTACAGAATAATTTTAAAGAAGCCTGATATAGAGAGTGGATATTAATATTTGGAGAATAAGCAGATAGTGTTGATGGGAATGTTCAGTGTCTGATTGAAATGAACAGTGAGGAAACGACAATACAATCGATATTCGATATTCTCTAGTACCACGGAGTATAAAATGGCAATTTCCATTGAAAACAAATTTACTCTCGTCGCGTATAGCCGGGGCTCTGGTAGGTAGTAGGTATTAGGTAGTAGGTAGGAACGAGGGTAGAAGGTAGAGGGTAGTAGGTGCTCTGGAGGAGAGAAAAGTGGATGAAGACAAAACTACATGCTACGTACTAGGTATATCGATATAAAAGAATAGAATTGGGATTTAGAAATAAAATTCAACGAGAATATAGGATATGATATGGGTACTCACTTACATCCCTGCACTCATCTTTGCTCAGCACACACTGGAGCGCCCACCTTCTCGCAAGCACCGCCAGCTCATCGTCCCAACTCTATAATTTTTATTCAAACATTTAATTATAAATTATAAATGATATAACCCGATAAAGTACAGAGGATAATTCGCTGGGAAATATCGCGAGTGAACCCAATAACCCAGTGATTGAGTGCAGCACTTATTTTTAATTATCTCGTATGCTCAAAATACTAATTGTGTTTCGTTATCGTTAATATTTATTCAAATGGGGAAATGTAGGTATAGATTTTCACTATTTAAATGCTAATTAATCCGTCATAAATGCTTGAATAAATTTATAATATTATCTCTTAATAATTATCATTGCTCTCGCTGAATATATATTTAATATATATGATAATTATTGTGATAATTGATGAATATACTCTATGTTTGTGTTTACTGATGTTGTGTGTTTTTAAAGTCAATAATTGAATCGTTGATTTTGAAATATGATCTGGATTTTCTTTTGCCGTATAAATACAAATTCAAAAAAATTTTCACAGTATTAAATGTACAAACGGGCGTTTTAATACTTTAAAAACTTATAAAAAGCAACGAAGAATCATTTTAATAGATTAAGACGGGAAAAAATATAAATATAAATCCAGTGATCAGTTTTGGGTATTTCTCGACGTTATTGTTGAGAAAAACCTGAACAAGTGATGTAGACTTAGATATGTACTTTGATTATACACTTTAGAAGTATGTTTGCGCTAATGTAACCTAAATATTAAGAAAAAAAAATGCTACTGCCCACAAACAGTGACAACTAAAAACAGACTAACTATTTTTTTAAATTAGTGTAACTGGTTGTAATATTTTGTTGTTTAATCATCAAAAAATTATTTTTTACCATGTTATATTTAGTAGTCTGTTTTTTAAATAAATTATTAGAGACTGCAAAGATGGATTATTTTTTTAATCAATTATTTTCTTGAACAGTTTTATTTTAGTAACTTGTGTCCAAAACTGGTATTTATCCCCTCAAAAATGGTTCAGAGTATCAAAAAACGGTGAAAATAGCTCCCGTTACAAAATTACATTATTTCCCAAACAAAAAATTTTGTTTTTCTATCAGATTTTTTATAAATTTTTTCTTGAATAAAAAAATAATTTCTACACTTTATATTTTAAAAATACTTCCGCGAAAAACATTTTATTGATAAATAAAAAAAAATAATACTTTGTGACGCACTGAATGTTAAATTCCATTAATTACCGCCTGACATTAATTTTTTCCTCCAACAAGTATTTCTTAAAATTAAAAAAATGCAATATCAAGTTTAATTTCATTTTTTAATCCTGTATTAGAAAGATTCAAAGACATTATTTCCCGAACAGACTGAAAAAAATTTTCTTTTTCTATCAGTTTTTTTATAATTTTTTTCTTGAATAAAAAAATAATTTCTGTACACTATCCTTTAAAAATACTTCCACGAAAAACGTGGAAATGTAATGGTGAAAATAGCTCCCGTTACATAATTACATTATTTCCCAAACAGACTCAAAAAAATTTTGTTTTTCTATCAGATTTTGTACAAATTTTAGCTTGAATAAAAAAATTATTTCTACACTATTATTTAAAAATACTTCCACGAAAAACAGTTTCTTAAAACCGATGTTCATACCCTCCATATTATTGATAGTAGTTTGTGTTTTTTTAATAAATTACTAAAGACAGCAAAGTTTGATTATTTTTTTAATCGATTATTTTCTTGACCAGTTTTATTTTAGTAACTTGTGACAGATTTTTTATAAATTTGCGCCTGAGAAAAAAAGAATAATTTCTACACTTAAAATTTTAAAAATACCTCCGTGAAAAACATGACCTACATTTTACTGATAAATTAAAAAAAATAATACTTTGTGACTTATTGAATATTAAATTCCATTAGTTACCGCCTGTAATTAATTTCGTCCTTTAACAAGTATTTTTTAAAATAAAAAATATGCAATATCGAGTTTAATTTCATTTTTCAATCCTATGTCAGAAAGCATTCATCTATCTAATTATAAAGAAAATCTGCCAAGAAAAGTTTAATTATACTTTCAACGATCAAGTTAATTTAAATGAATAATTTGAGTGTAAATTAAGCACGATACCCATTGAATTATCAGAGTAATACACACGTCTGTCACCGACTGATTTACTTAAACGACAATGATAAAGACGTAAATTGCTACGTTTCACGCGGTAAATTATTAACTGACATTAATTAACTTGATCAATAACGACATTTCTGTTAAAAATGTCATTGGATGGTTATTTTTTGGGTCAGTCGATAATTCAATCGTCGGATTCGCGTCAGTTAATAATTAACCGACGTTAATAAAATAAAAAATATACATATTATATATAATATAAATAATTGTATTTGCAATCAACCGCACTAGTTCCATCATATTTTTGGCTGGTGGCTGTGGTCCGGGATTTCCGCGAATCTCTTTCCCACTTGCAATGAAATTTCGCCGCAAATTATGCTGATTTAATATCGATAATATTTCCTCGGGGTCGAGGTCCCCGTGCTCGATATTTTTACAATTGGGACTGACGTCATCGAACTGAAAAAAAATAATAATTAATTTTTATTTATACAATTTTAGGTTAAGATAGTAAATTTAGTGATATGGACGTGAGTAATTAGTATAATGATATTATTGTTAATATATTTACGGGATAACGGCACATAGTATGACGGGTGCAGAGATGACAATAATTTTCCACTAGGTTGTCGGATTTAGTTAACGCGAGATAACTCGCGTTAGCTACTAACAGTAAATAGTAGAGCCTTGTCAAGTCGCTCATGTCATGTGTTTAACGTCCAGAAGTTGTCGGAAATTTGCTGCAGATGAACTTCAAGATAAAAAATATAAAAATCCATCTGATAAATGGATTGCGACTTGTAAAATTAGTATTGTATTTTATTTAAATGCTATTATATTATATATAAATAGAATCAATTTTTTTTTTTCAAAATTAATTATATAATAAATTATTATTATTATTATTATTATTATTATTAAAATTTTTTTTAAGACTTCGATGGTCTAATTAGCAATTTGTCTAACTCCTTATTTTTTAGAGGGTGATTTTTTAACAATTTGATGTAGCCATAATCGAATTATAAATTATTTGAATGATTCAAACCTAAATACTATATCTCTATTAGATAATAATGATATTAAATGGTTTTTTTAAGTGATAATAAATTTTGAACTAATTATTTTTTTCGTACAAATAGAAGATTCTCTAAAATGGAGTTAGACAATTTGCTAATTAGAACGTCGACTTGGAATATCAGACTTTTATTCCTAACTTTTAGTAATTTAAGTAGAAATTTAAGCCGACTTTTCACATTTTCTGCGCAGATTTTTTGCCCATTTCCGAATTTCATCAAGGCAAACGCGTTCCAAGATGAATTCAGTGACAAATAAAACGTACAATTACCACTCGATTAATCGATTAAAAGCCTGAATTTCTCGTAGATGTGTTAAAGTGTAAAATGAACCGTATTTATGGATTCCTGCGGTTTCATTCCGAGGAACACTGCAAGACTCGTCAGTGTGGCTGCAGTAGGGTCAGCTCCGCCCCATACCGCTGTTAATTGTAAGAGCGAGCCGTGTGGAAACGATATACTGCGTATAAGTCCTCAGTACGCTCGCCCATAATTGTACAACACACAGCAAGATCGTCTTCATCAATTCAGTCATCGTTAAACTGCTATATACTGAGCTTTGTGGTGAAAAAACACAAAGTTAATACACTATAATATGAACTATAGAGATGTTTCTTTCCGCTCCGTCGTCCATCTTTCGGCAATCGAAAAATTATATTTCAAGTATTTTTAAAATTCTACAGAGCAAAACGTTAAATTTGAAGTTTTTTGGCAACTTGAGACACACTGATCTGATAAGTGGCAAACAACTACAATTATAATTTAAGTTATCTTCAATTCGCCATGCTACTGATCAAATTTAAACAATTCAATTGTGTCTATAAATATTATTTAAAAACTTGAAAGTTAGTTAAATTTTTCTACCCTGCAGGGCTATATTAACTTATATTTGATTGACAAATTTTTGGTAAAAATAATAAATTCATAAAGTTTGACGAAAAAGATAACTATAATTAGCAAAGAGTTAATCACTGTAAAATAACCAATTAATAAACTTTCCAGCTCAGGATTATTAATAATTAACTAAATTACAAAAACTGAAATTGAATAATATGTAATAGTTTTCATACAAAGCAATTGAAGTTGTTTTTAAAGCTATTATATAATTAAATTGAAATTTTACTTTGACAATATTTAATTTAATAAAAGTAGTTAACGCACATTTAAATATTTATTTTTGAAAAGCTATACAAGAAAGATATTTTTAGTTGTGAACGTTCTCTGGTGCATAATCCATAGAGTTTTAAACTCAGTTACATGAGACTGTCTATCTGGGTCATATCTAACTCATCCTGAAACTTATATATCTTATCCGCATCCGATCCCGTCCAAGGACCGGATTCACCATCACAAACTGCTTGATGCTTCGCTGTATCATTTCAATGTTTTGAATAGCTTAAACTTGTCTATCTTCTGTTTCGTACATCAAACTATTATATAATATCCATATATTTCGTCTTTATAATATTATTTACTATTTATTACAATATCCATTATTTACATTTTTTTTTCTTAAAATAATCTTATTATTCAGTAATCAATTATCAGTCTTTGATATTTTTCATTCAAGGATTAAAGCAAAATCTCTATTAAAAGTACAAGCTATGAAAATTTTCATGAAATCACAATAGTCAATTCTGTCAAATTTCAAATTGTAAATTCACTCAATTAATAATAGGCGGATATGTCCAATAATTATGATTATTTTAGTATGATGTCGGGAAAATGCAAACCTCAAATTTTCCAGGATACGAACGTGCATTTATGCTTATTGTGTTTATTTATGAAGTAGACTTTCAGTCATCCGGTGGATTATTATTGATAGAATTGTATCAAAAGCAAGAGAAATTTAAACCTTGATTATAAATTGACATTTATGTAACATATTCGTAATATTGCGTAAAAATATTTAATAAAAAAACAAAAAGCTTTCCTCTATAATGACCATACTAAGGGCCAGTTTTTCAATCCGAGATAAAATTTTATCCGGGATAAAAGTACTGCCAATTTTTATATATATATATTTCTTCTGTGCGTGTGTTTGTCACTGAACTCCTGCTAAACGGCTGGACCGATTTTAATGAAATTTTTTGTGTGTCTTCCGGTGGATTCCAGAATGGTTTAGATTGACAACTCAGTCCACGGGAAAATGTTTATTTAATAGATTTTTTATTTATAAATTGTTGTTGACCTTGAGTACCCACATGCACTTTTCATATATTTTATAAATATCATATATATAAGATATATGAAAAAATTCATGTGGGTACTCAAACGAAAGGTCTCGATGAGAATAAAATCATAATGGACTAATATTTACGAAAATGTTAATAATTAACGAATGATAATGTATTTTGTTAACTAATGATGTTTTTAACGATATAAACTCATTCCGATGTCAACGGAGGGTCCTGTTACAGGACTATATAGGAGGAATAGCTACAGGAGGAATAGCTACAGGAGGAAATAGCTACAGGAGGAAAATAGCTACAGGAGGAAATAGCGAAGTAATGCTAACGCGGTCCCGCAGTATCAGGTACAAGAGAGGGGAGGGTTTTAGTGAGTAAGAATCTCACACTACCGGCAACCAATATCTCCAACATCTAGCCGGTGTCTTATGAAGATTTCCCTCCTCTCGCCCAAAAAAAAAAAA